CACAGAAAGGGAAACCAAATGTCGAGTTAGACGGCACCTTGGTGTACGGGAGCTTATGGGGCTAATTGCGGAGTGGGCACAGAAGATCAGAGGGTTTAAATAGGCAATCTCCTAGCAGGTTGCAGGTATGGCAGCTAGTGTAAAACCTTCGGGCAGACTTAAATAGGCAACCAAAAGTTGTACGTGTGGCTAGTTGTACGCTCATCAATGTACCAAAAATGTTGTATAAACATATAAAAACACAATAAAGCATTAGCACCCATGACATCGGTTTAAAAAAAAAAAAAAAAAAAAGCAGCACAAAAATGGGTATCATCATGGCTTCTTCTTGCTAAATTTTGAGATCTTAGAAGCTTCACTAGCACCATTTTAATGTGTTGCTTTTCTTCTTCACTATTATGCTGTCTTGGAATTAGCCTAAAATATGTTGCAGAGCATGACAATTTATAGTTCATATTTGTCAATGCTTCTTGGAGCTGGTCTAAAGTCTTGACAGATCATATTAATTCTGAATACCGTCTTTCATCAGCCTGTCTATTTGAAGAAACAATCTGAACAATAGCCTCCAATAAACCTGGCTGTGCTTCTTCTAAACTTGGATGACCAACTGTTGATCTAACAAGCTGCATATCTAAACCTGCTTCTTTAAGCTGCTTTTCCATCTGCTGAAGCTTCTGCCTTTTCTGAGATCTATACTTCTGTTGAGATTGTTGGTAGTATTCTAATTTATTCAAAGCTTTTAGTAATGATTCGAGTTCACTTTGAATACTTGTTTTTTTTCTTTATCAACATCAGAGATCATTCCTCTATTCTCTAATACTTCAAGATGCTGTAACATCTGACTTAATTGAGAAATTGTGTCTTTGAGCTTAGACTGAGCTAGTGCCTCTCAAATTTTAACCATTGTTAATTCTTATTTTTTTTTTTTTTAATAAGTTGTTTTTAGATTACTCTGGAATCAAGATCGAATACAAATGAAACACTTAGTGATTCATGATTCAAACAAAAATAAGCAAGAATTTGTTCAAGAATTGAAGACTTACTGTAAAATTGGTAACAAGAATACTTCGTTCTTGGAATGTGCTGGAGTATTAAAAAATAATTATGGCGATTATATTATTGTTTTAAAGAAGGTTCATTATGGTAAAATCTCGTACAAGTATACAATTAGAATGGAAAGATAAATTGAATCTCTTCTGGTATAGTATCAAATATCGAGTCAATTTATTTGTAGGAACTTGTTCACAGAGTTTTACACAGCGGAAATATTTTACAAAATCCAAAATTTATTGGATAATTTTGAAGGTAAAATTATTTGTTTTATATTATTTTAGAGCATGTGTATTTATATAACACAGTCTAATATTCAATGATTTTTACAAATAAAAATACACATACTTCATCAACAATACATGAGCTAGAATCTAACTTAGAATATCTATATTAATTTAATGTCTTTTTCCAGAATTTAACTTTCAAATACAGTAGTACACTATATTAAGTAGTCCTTGTTGATATAAATATGGGAGTATGGATATAATTGTAATATTCTCTATAGATATGTTCAAATTTATTTATATAAAATATATGCTAACAATGTTAAATTTATTGTCATTTCAGGATTAGCCCTAGGTTTTACTTTTTTTTAATACGACCAGTACTTTTAAGAGATTCTTGTCGATATGAATATGGCAGATACACTTTAAGAATTTTGTTCAATACATACTATTATAGTAACATTACCTGTGCTAATATATAATACGAATTATTATTACTTTCTTTTTTTGATTTAGTATCTTGGTTTGAATATGGTTATGCGAATTCCTGATAATATGAATATGGAAGTATAAATGCAATTGAAATACCAGTGTTCTCAATTAGTCATATTATTAAGCTAACAATGTTAAATTTGTTTTTTGAAGGCAACCAGTACTTTTAAGAGATTCTTGCTGATATGAATATGGCAGATACGCTTTAAGAATTTTGTTCAATACATACTATTATAGTAACGTTACCTGTGCTAATATATAATACGAATTATTATTACTTTTTTTTTTTTGAATTAGTACCTCGCTTCGAATATGGTTATGCGAATTCTTGATAATATGAATATGGAAGTATAAATGCAATTGAAATACTGGTATTCTCGATTAGACATATGGGCTGAGTGCTGGAGAAAGGAGCGAAAATGACAATTTTTCAAAATTTTTTTTTGATCCTAACTTATTCAAAATCGACTTGGGAATATTTTTACCTTATAAAAGAAGTGTTGGTATCTTAATAAAATTTTATGTTATAGATAAAACGATATAAAAAACTAGTAAGATTAGATAAATATTATCGATATAAAATCGATGTAAATCAATGTAAATCAATGTAGATCATCGGAATTTATCGTAAATGTTGAAGCAATATCTAAGCCAATCAAAATCACGATTTTAATAATTTATAAATTTTATTTGACTAATTCTCTTTCTGATCGGGCATTTTGTTTGAAGTTTTCTTTAAGACTGTGTGCTAATAAATAGGTACTCAACCATATCGCACTGATTAAAAAATCCATTTTTATTATATCCCACGTATGATACCCGGGTGAAAGCATAAGAGTTCTATTAATTGTAAGCAGTTTTTTTTAAAGTTTCAGAGACTGTATTAGTCTGTAACAGAGATACTTTGTCATACAATATACCCGGGTATTTTATAAGTTTTAGACCCAGTTTTTAATTAGTGCGGTACATTACTTGTAAACTATTACAGTTTTTCAACTCTCGCATTATGTTTCTGATATCTGTTACACCTAAATCAGATTTATACTTCTGAATAATTTCAAATTAATATTTTAATCTAATGCTAATATATCAAGTAATTTATAGTTAATATTACCTGACATGAACGATTCAGACGGAATATTCTAGTTTGTGAATATGAAATTGGTGTTAAGAAGCATTCGTTTATTGAAACATACAGATATAAATGATTTACCTAGATGGCACAATTATTACTATGAATATAGAATAACTTGCTAATGCTATGAGCATGGAGTTGGAGTTAAGACGAAAATAAGCACATTTATTGAAAATTTGACAGATATGAATAGTCTACCTGTAATCTTTTGACTTTGCTATTTGTTATAAACATGGAATTAGATTAAGAATCTATTTATTAATTAGCAAAATTTTTTGTATCTGAATGATCTGATCGAAATATTTTAACTTGACTTAATTACTAACATAGAATGAAATTAAAAAAAGGCGTTCATTGATTACCAAAAATCCGCAATTATGAGTGAACTAGTCAGAATATTCTGGTTTGATTCTGTTATGAACATAAAATTGGAATTAAGATGAAAATAAAGCATCCATTTACTATCAAAAAGATATAGATATGAAAGACCTACAGGTAATGAATGATTATATTATTAACTAGTTTTACTCTTGTCTATTCAAATTAGAGTTCTCGGATTTTTCTAGCAGCTAAAATAGCACAAGCAATATCACGAAAACAATCAAA